TTTTCGGGTTTTTTAAATCTTATTTCATCTTCCCAAAATCCAGGTTGATTGAAATGACTGCCTTCCCCAGTCTACAAAGGTGGAGACTAAGGCTTAGAATTGTTAAATAACTCGCCCAAGGTCACAAAGCTAGTGAAGGGCAGAGCCAGCCCTCCAATATAGATTTGGCAGACTTCAAAGAAAATGCTCTTCACCTCCAGGCTCTTTTCCCTCCCAGCTGTCCAGCTGAATTTGACCAGAGACCATCTTTCATGAGGGAGGACAGTGGCTTTTGTCCTCTTCCTCACACCGCGCTTTGTGGGCCAAGTTTATGAACAATCTTTTTTCCTTGGGAGACTTAATCACACCTCACTGGAGAAAAGAACCTCTTGGCAAAACAATGACTCTAAATCACAGAAATGGGGATTTTACAGCTACCAAATAAACAGAAGATGTTGTAAATTTTCCCTTGTGTGCTGGCCAAGTAGTTTTGCATCTGTCAGGACTTCTCAGTGGTCATTTTTCCCTCTGCCTACACCAAGACATGCTCAGACAAAGAGAACTGTGCATCTTGCCTATCAGCTACCCTAAACTTGAGACAGGTATCTTGCCTTATCTTCTGTTGTTGAAAAAAATCTTTCTTGCTCATTGTCAATGCCCTCCCAGAACAACCTAGCTTTTAGAAAAAGACAAACACGTGCCCTCGTGCATCTCAGAGTCCTCCTACCCAGATGTTCAAAGTGATTGTTACACAGATCACTCAGCTGTCTCTGAGGGTGGGATCAGAAAGAGATGGGTGGGCACTGATCACACCAGAGTCTCTTCCACAGCTTGATTCAAGGGTCTTACTAGAAGACGAGGGACACTTTCAGACTGAGTTAAACATAGTTGGTGGAAATCCCATGGATTTCTTTTAGCAGAGTAAAAAGAGTCCAAGAAAATCAGCTTGGGATTTAACTTGAACTTTTTTTTTTTTTTTTTTTTTTGAGACAGAATTTCACTTTCGTTGCTTAGGCTAATATTAGTACAATGGAGCAATCTCAGATCACTGCAACCTTCACCTTCTCGTTAACTGGAATTTCCATTCAATTCATCAGCGAGCACATTCTAAGAGAAGAGGAAACTAATTAATACTCATTGAGTGCCTACTAAACACTCCAAACACTACACCCTTCATGCCATCATAGAATTTTTTTTTTTTTTTTGAGATGGAGTCTTGCTCTGTCGTCCAGGCTGGAGTGCAATGGCACAATCTCGGCTCACTGCAACCTCCGCCTCCCAGGTTCACGCCATTCTCCTGCCTCAGCCTCCCGAGTAGCTGGGACTACAGGTGCCTGCCACCATGCCCAGCTAATTTTTTGTATTTTTAGTAGAGACAGGGTTTCACCGTGTTAGCCAGGGTGGTCTTGATCTCCTGACCTCGTGATCCACCTGCCTCGGCCTCCCAAAGTGCTGGGATTACAGGTATGAGTCACCACGCCTGGCTGGTAGAATATTTTATGCACCATGTGTCAGTCCTCTTCTAGGTGCTGTGCACATACTAACTCATTTAATTCTCACAGTGATTTTATAGAGTAGGGGCCATTTTTTTATATGAGAAAAAAATGGGGCATAGACAGTGTATCAGTTACCTATTCCCAATTACAAACGTCCCCAAACTGTAGTGGCTCAAAACAAATCAAGCATTTCCCCATTTTCCACCCCAGCCTCCTAGCCTCTGGCAATCACTGCTCCTCTCTCTAAGGGTACAAATTTCAGTTAGACAGGAGGAGTACATTTTAAAGATCCATTGCACAACATGGTGACTATAGTTAATAATAATGTATTGTATATTTCAACATTGTGAAAAGAGTAGATTTAAAATGTTCTCACCACAAAAAAAAAAAAAAAGGACAAGTGTGAGGTGGTGGATACATTAATTAGCTTAAGTATTCCATAATGTATACACATATCAAAATACCACATTATGCCCCATAAATATGTACAATTACTTTTTGTCAATTAAAAAGAAATTTTAAAGAATCAAGCATTTTTTGAACTCATGATTCTGTGAATCCATTGAGGGTTTTTCTGATCTGGGGGCAGCTCAGCTGATCTCAGTCAGGCTGTCTCATGCAAGTGTGTTCAGCTTGCAGATAGGCTGATGGTTGGAGGATCTGGAATGGCCGCACTCACCTGTGTGGGGGATGGAAGGCTGTTGGCTCAAGGACAAGACACCTGTCTCTCTCCACCCCCAGTCAGCCCACCTGAGCTTGTTCACATGACAGTAGTGTCCCAAAGCAGCAAGGGGACAAGTGCACAGCACCTCTCCGGTCTCCCATTGTCCCACTGGCAAAGCAATTTGCCATTGTCCCATTGGCAAAGCAAGTCACATGACTCATTCCATAGACACTGCAGAAAAGGACTTTCCGGGAGTGTGGGCAGAGAGAAGTCTGGATGTACTGAGGCCATTACTGCAGCAATCCACCACAGAGAAGTGATGCCACCTCTCTAAGACTCCACAGCTAATAAGTGGTGGGGCTAGAATTTCAACCCAAGTAGTCTGACTCCAGAACCCACATCTGTAAGGATGATGTTACTCAAAAATATACAGTTTCATTTCATTCTTAGACACTTTGAAGAGAAGGTATTACTAGCCCTATTTTAGATTTAAAACACAAAAAGCAGAGACTCAGTATTGTTAGAGAATTTGCCTGAGATCATATGGCTAGAAAATGGGAAACATCTGGCTCACTTTTATAAGTCATTGTTTCCTTCCATTTTCACACATACACACGTCCACAAACACACTGCACTGGCCCTGGGTGAGGGTCACCTTCAGAACCAAACAATTTAAATACCCACAGTGAAAATGACCCATTAAATCCTGGATCACATTATATCAAAGTACTATATCTTACTCCTACTCACTTGACGTTATGGCTACTTCGGTTTTTAGACAAAAATTATGCAAGGTATCTTTAGATGATGTAACTTATGAGTATTTCCTCATGCCATTTTGTGTCCTCCAAATTAATATTATTTGTTGTTATGACGGCCCCATAATGAATTTACTCATTCCCCTATGGTCAACCTTTTGCTATTATACACAACCCTGTGATTAATATTCCTTGCATAAAACTTTATCGCCCATTTGTGACTATATTCCCAGCAGTGGCATCATTGAGTCATAAGCATGAACATTTCAAGTCTCTTGATACCCACTGCAAATTGTCCCTCCAGAAAAGATATACCAGTGCTTGCATACCAGCTACCCACGAGAGTGAGACTCCTTGCATCCCAGCCTCACCAGGACTGAGTATTAACAAGCATGGATGGGTCCATTGGATTATTCCCCATGTGTAATGGGATCAGGCTCTGATTGACTGCATCCTTTTGCATACCATAAGAGCCTTCCTACAGGGCCCTAATACTCAAAGTCCATTGACAAAGACACTCTCTACCCTGAATTAGCATTGCTACAATTTATAACCTCTCCGACACTCTTTATTTCACATGTTTCTTCCTGACCAGTGCTTCTTTTTATAGACCACATTGTCTTTAGCTATGAACAACTACAGCTAAGTCTTTCTCAGCCTAGGAACTTGAGCTCATTTTTCTGTCTATCTTAACCCTGATCCATTGTGTATTAATTTCATGGTTCACTGACTCTTTTCTAATATCCAGGCTAGTTGTTGGCAGGGGAGAGGAAGTCACCTTGTTTTCATCACCACATACTGTCTACAACACATGTGCTCCCATTTGATCCTCATCTGAACCATAAAAAGTGGACAGAGAGGAGAACTAAAACTCACTGAGGTTAAATGGTTCTTAGTAGTTCAGAGCTACTAGTGAGCAATGCCAGAACTTGAGCCTGGCTTTGTTCTTTCTACGTTATCTTGCAAGAGGAAGAAATTGTGCTCAAAGCCACCAATTTAAAAGTTCATGTAATAAATAAGTCATGAGGTACTGGGGATTTCAGTGAGGGATACAATTACAAGAAAGAAGAGGAAGTGATTGAATCTAAAAGTCTTGTGAAAGAATGACCACTAGGAGAAGCCTATCTGTTTTTGGAAAATGTATTTCAAATGGAAAGTGAAATCAAAATACAGAAGAAAGGAGAAAATGAAGAGTGATAAGTGTCTTTAAACTTCCAGATTCAGTTGTCCCTAAAGTCAATTTCTCTACTCCTCCTATCCCTAGTCACTTCAGCTAAGAAGGCCCCCATTGCTTTGCCTATGCCAGCTGGAGTGGAGTTTCTGCCACTTGCAACAGAGAGGGCTGAGGTGTGCATGCACACCACCACTCCAGACCCACATACAGAAATGCACGCAGGGGAAAAAAAAAAAAAAAGCAATCTTTGAATTGAAGTGTACTGCATTAGCAGCCAAGACCTTACCATCGCTCGATCTGCCCTCCTTCCATCTCCCAACTGAGGCCTCTCATATTTACTGATAAGAACTTTCTAATCTTCTCCAGTCTTCCTGGCTCACCAAATATCAAAATCTCCATGCCAGAGTTCTAGTTCTTGGGAGCTCTACAAATTTGCTCTCTTGGGATGCAGGAGCAAAGGTTGAGGCTGTGAAGGGCTTTAATCAATAGTGCATGAGCCTGAAGAACAGGCAGGAATCAATAATATATTTCCACTATCAACTTTTTCTTATCCTCAAAACAACAGCATCAAAACATGCATGCCAAATGGCAATTGAAAAAGTCAATTTAAAAAGTTATTATTCTCTTTCTTGGTCTTTATTAAAAGGCATAATGAATAGGCTTACTGTAAGGAGGTGAGAGATACTCAATTAGGAAAAAAACAGAAAATATGGTATTTTATAGTGATGGGGTTTCCCCCAGCTTTCGCAAAGAAAGTCAATTGCAGTTTTTAGGATGGGTCTGTGGAATGATGCGTGATAAGTAAGAAAAAGGAGGAGAGGTTATATTCAGAGCTCAGAACACAGTGAACTTCTGGGTTTATGCAATGAGAAACTCCTCTGTTAATTTATAAAATAAATTTCTTAGTCCATGCTACATAGTAGGCTTACAGTGAATGTATATGGCAGTTGGTTAGATGGTAACCACTCTCATTGCCAGATGACTCCAATAGGCAGCTGGTTCAAGAATCACTGGACTTGATGACGTCTCCAGGTTAGGTACTTCTTAAAATTTCATATAGTCCAAAATAGTCTTTCCAAAAATTGATGATGATCTTAGCATTGAGGCTCATGTTTGACTGAATGATTAGACAGAGCTGCTTTACTAAAATATTTTATCTCAGTGGACGTGTAGATATTTCTTGACTCCTGGAAAATACTTCAAATGGAAAAATGGTAAGAAATATAAAATGTGTAAAATCATCCTTACATTTTATTTATTTATTAAATCACCCACTCCTTTTTCTTATCACGTGTCAAACATTTGTTATATAGTAGACATTTTTGGGTAGAGCATTGGATAAAACCCAGACCATGACCTCAAGTAGATCACAGTCCACTTGAGCAACACCAAGAGCATTAAATTCAAATAAAGAAGTGTTGGGTTAAAATACAATGTGCCTCTCTCTAGGACCAGGGGCTATTGCAGAAGAGGTGGGCACATGACATTGTAAGGGCTGGTTTTGAAGGACAGAATTACTTCAGACCCTCCAAATCAACGACAGGCACACAAATGCCTAAAGAGCTGATAGACTCAGGTACTTTGCCTCCTGGGGCATTATGTGGCCCATTTTCATTCATGCCAACTACAAACTTCCCATAAACTTAAAAGAGAATTACCAAGAGGATGTCAAGCTACCTGGTGACAGAGTCTTCTTGTATAGTTGTTCCCAGTTAGAGGTTTATGCAAATAGAGATATGATTTTTAAAAATTTGACCACTTTAGGACAAATTACTAAAGAGACTGTAAAAGGCATCGTGGCACGACAAAAACCTCTACATTCCTTAGCTTAAAAGCTTTTAGCAAAATGCTTATGTTTCATACAGCTAATTACTACAACTCTGTTACTAAAACCAAGATTACAGTAGCTCAACACACAGAACTTATAGATATGTCAATTCTGTAATCTGGCTTTTTGGCTTTGTTTTTTTGCTCTTATGTTGCTTAACAGGTTTTAAGAGTTGATGGGTTTCTGCCCACCTCCATTCCTGTCTGTCCTAGAAAGTTTAATTGACCATAAGTCTTTTGGCTCTAATTCCCTTGGCCATAGGAGTCTCACTGAAGGACAAGATGGACCCAGGGCAAGCAGCCACACCACCCCACAAAGATAGGGAAGAAAATAAAAGTTTGGTCATTGATGCTGCCTCTGGCAGATTTGGGACAAAAGGGGGAGAATACAAACTAAAAATAAAATTCTAAGCTCCTCAACTGACTGAATGTATCATCTCTTGGACAAGGAGACCCCATCTGAAAACTGAGTTATCAGCCATGATAGGATAGGAAGGTCAGACACACTCATACTCTGTTATGGTTTGGCTCTGTGTCTCCACCCAAATCTCATGTCAAATTGTAATCCCCATGTGTTGGAGGAGGGGCCTGGTGAGAGGTGATTGAATCATGGAGATGGGCATCCCCCTTGCTGTTCTTGTGGGAGTGAATGGGTTCTCACGAGATCTGGTTGTTTAAAAGTGTGTAACACTTCCTGGCCAGTCTACAGAGGATGCACAATAAGGGTTTCCATGGATTCTGTTTCACCTTTTGACATCAGCGGGCCAAAACTCCATCTTCAGATTGCCGCCATTTTTTGAACATGGAGAAGCAAGAAGCTCGATTGCACAGGTGTACATTTCTCCTTTCATAAATATGCACGCCTCCTTCTGTAGCTTATTGAATATGTATATTTGGCCATCCCAATGGGCATCAATTCCTGTTCCTTTTGCTCCTTCCTCGAAGCGTTTGTTTCTGGCTTCTGGCTAGAGGCTATGTTTCTCAGCCGGTCAGAATGGCCACTCTGCAGGCTGCAACTCTTTATAATAAGTAAAGTCTCCTCTTCTCCAAATTTAAATTTCAAAAAAATGCAGTGTGATGAGTGCCATGAAGAAAATAGGCACAGAGAGTCCATGGGGACACTGTGAGAGAAAACTAACAGCCATGGAGGGAGAAAAAGTGAACACAGCTTCTTAGGAAACTACTAGTAGGAGGCAGGGCACGGTGGCTTACGCCTGTAATCCCAGCACTTTGGGAGGCCAAGGTGGGCAGATCACAAGGTCAGGAGTTCAAGACCAGCCTGGCCAACATGGTGAAACCCCGTCTGAACTAAAAATACAAAAATTAGCCAGCTGCAGTGGTGGGCGCGTGTAATCCCAGCTACCCAGGAGGCTGAGGCAGGAGAATCTCTTGAATTTGGGAGGAGGAGGTTGCGATGAGCTGAGATTGTGCCATCGTACTCCAGCCTGGGTGACAGAGCAAGACTCTGTCTCGAAAAGAAAAGAAAAAAAAAAAAAAAAAAAACTACTCATAGGAGGGAGAGAGGTTGAAAGGAAGATGGAAAAGTGAACGTAGAGTCAGGCAGGCCAGGAGAGGAGGCTCGTGAGGTTGCTGAAGACTAGAATAACCTGGGGAGCGTTAAGAAAAATTAAAATGCCCTGTTTCCACCCAAGATGAATTAAATCAGAATATTTTAGTGGTAAGACTCAGACATCATTTCTTTTGTATTTTTTTAAATCTCTCCAGTTGATTCTGGTGAACTGTCAGTTTGAGAAATCTGGACTAAATTATGAAGTGTCTTGTTACTAATCTAAGGAGTTCAGACTTTGAATTATAAAAGGAAAAATCTTCTAATACTATAATGATCATTAGACCTGAGACAGAGCGTTACACTTTCAGATGCATTTAAATAGTTCTCCAGGACCATCAATCCTCATTTATCTCTTTGAACCCTGCTAAATGAGAAAACCAACTTCTAGAAGGCATCAGAATAGCATAACAGTTAAGGCAGAGCTTGTGTGAAAGAGCCTAGATTCAGGTCCTGGCAGAATATTTAACTCTTTGTGGGCTTCACTTTCCATATCTCTAATATTTGGCTATCTGATTATTTCATAGGGCTGTTGTAAAATATTTACAGAGAACTTACTAGGTGTCAGCCTCTTTGATAAGCCCTAGAAATAAAATAGTAAACAAAGATAATACAATGTTTATTCTCATGAAATTTACCTGCTAAAGAGAAGGGTTAGACATTAGTCAAGTAACCATATGAGCAATTATAAAAATATGAACATAATTGCAATTGTGTAATTACAAAGTGATATACTGCTAGAATGTCTGGTGATAATGGCTGTCTGTAAGAGAAAAACCAGGAACTAAGAAAGGGTGTAATAGAAGAGCTCACCTGGGAAGAACAGGCTGGAATTTGAAGGAATAGAAACAAAGTCACTGAAAATGCAGAGGAAGGGAAATTAGAAGGAAGTGGAGTGACAAGGGAGGCCCAGGCCAAGGGACATGTATAAATAAACAAAGGTCCTGAGAGATGAGGCAATAATGTATATAGACGACCTAGCAAGGTTAGAAGTGCAGTGTGAGTGCTTAATAGTTAGTTACCATCATCATCAGCGCAGCAGCCATCTCTTCTGTATTAAATCTACAGAGAGGTGAGAAATAGAAATTGAAGAGATTGAGCCAGATATGTTCTCATTGTTAAACATTTTTAAATATTGATGATGTTAAAGGTGAAAATGTCCCTGCATGCAGTTTAAGACTAGTACTTTGTACTTAATGAAGGTCTCAAGGAAGAAATGCTGGCTTTCATTCAAGCCCAGGACAAACAGCACACTAATGAGTGGCATGTTAATCGTCAAGGAGATATGTTGAGTGACTGCTGAGACAGACTTTTTCTGGAGTACAGAACAGAGTTTTTCCAGCCAGCCTGCACCTCAGGAGATTATCAGCAGTTCTGGCACGTTGGTAGTTGCTCCACTGATGTCGAAATGTGCTTGAAATGTGACTACCTGTCCCACCTCCCCCTCAGTCTCTACAGGAATGGCTTGAGTGACAACATGCGATAATATCTCCATCGATTTTCTTGGAGCTCCCTTTGGTGGCTCAAGATTAAGTAGTGAAGTAGAGATAGCCATTATCACTGTATATTCCAGCAGCTGATAATATGCATTTGATCAATTATTTTAATATAAGTTGCAAAAGGAGCTGTATGCATCAGGGTGAGAAGCTTTGCTGCTTTCTGTGTGCTAATTTTTCTTTCCTTTTCTTTTTTTTTTTTTTTTTTTTTTTTGGAGACAGAGTCCCTCTCTTTTGCCCAGGCTGGAGTGCGGTAGCTTGATCTTGGCTCACTGCAACCTCTGCCTTCTGGGTTCAAGCAATTCTCCTGCCTCAGCCTCCCGAGTAGCTGGGACTACAGGCGTCCACCACCACCCGTGGCTAATTTTTGTATTTTTTAGTACAGATGAAGTTTCACTAGTCTGGCCAGGCTGGTCTCAAACTCTTGACCTTGTGATCCACCCACCTCGGCCTCTTAAAGTGCTGAGATTATAGGTGTGAAATTTTTCTTTTCTTAATCTTTTGTTTCCTCAGTCTCTGTGACCTGAGTGTAACTTTGCTCAAGAGATAATGCATGTGTGGCATCCAGTAGTGTGCCTGGCTCATAGTAAGCCCCAGATTCTGCTCTTCCTCTTCCATCTTAGCATGTTTGCCAAGGAGCCAGACAATGTGTAATTACAGCATGGGTCTTAGCATCAGACAGACCTGGACTCAGATCCAAGCCCTATAACCTAACCAGCTGTCATATCTTGGGCATGACACATTAATTCTTTATTTATATACTTTCCTTTTTCTCTGAAATTGGACTGCTAAGAAATTTATTCTGTAATTCTTGATTTCTTCAGTTGTAAAGCAGAAAGCACACTGTGGGGTTATTGTTAAAACCAGTGATAACCCCCTGCCCCAAAAGTCTCCTGACCCCAGCCTATTTAGTAACGATACCCAGTTTACAGAAGTTACCACTCTCATGGTTAATATGCTAGAACTATCCTCAGTCTTGTTTATTTGTCATGAATTTTCACCTTCTTTCTCCCCGCAAATGTAAGAAAGTTTATTTGACTTTGAGAAAATACTGTTTCGACCACGAATATGGTATTACCTACTCATTAGCACTCTCCTTTTTCAGCGACCAAAAAATTCATCCTAAATTACTCAAGACAAAAATGCACAAAAGCCCAGGTGTTATTAGCTGCAGGCATGGCTGGATCTAGATGCTCAAATTATGTTCTCAGGAATCTGCTTCCTGCCATCTCCCATCTGCACTTGGCTCTATTTCGGCTTCATTTTCAGGCGGCCTCTCCCTCATACTAACAGAAATGGCCTTCAGC